TTAACATAAGGGGTGACAGAAAGGAAAAAGGGAATTGGAATTAATGAGGAAGAGGGGAGACAATAACATACTAACATCCAATCTATACCTATTGCCATATCAGTTATTCTGTTTACTCTTTTCTGCCTTCTAGATAAAGTTCTCATTTCAATATATGCTATTCACAGGCTGCCTGTTGATTCAGTCCACTTGTTAAGTAGGTCCCATCTTTCTGTTGCCTTTTGGAGGGGATGGTCCTTCATGACTTCTGATAAGATACCCATTTCGGCTATTTCCTGTATCTTTTCAATAAGATCTTGTTTTGGTACCGTCGGACTTTTCCAATTTTTAGCATATAGAATTCTGGCTGCCGTAACAATATATACAACTATATATTCCTTTGACTTATCTATATTATCAGGTATCAAGTACAGTGGTGCCTCGCTTAACAAGTGCACCGTATAACAACTAATTTGCATAGCAATCAGTTTTTTTGGATCGCTAATGCGAAGGCATACCGACAGTTCCAATGGGCAAAACTCGCATTGCGAAGATCGGTAAGCGTTTCGCTTACCGATCTTCACATTGCGATGTTGGGGAATCAGCTGTTCGGCGGTTCCAAAATGGCCGCCGGATGACCCAAAATGGCCGCACGCAGCATTTTCGCACCCTGCCCTCGCTTACCGAGGGCGCGAAAATGGCTGCCGCTATGGGGAAACATCGCAGAACTGTGAGTTTTGTGCCCATTTGGGGCACAATGGGTTTCCCCGTTCCGTATAGCGATGTTTCCCCATAGCGAAGGTTAATCCGGAATGGATTAACCTCGCTATGCGGGGCACCACTGTATTTTAAATTTTGACTATTGAAGCTGAAGCAGTACTTTCTCTGTGTATTTTTTTTCTGGGGGAAAAAGTTTTACAATCATGCAGCTAAAGAAGTGCCTCTCAGGTGGCAAAATATTCAGATTTCTTCACTCCCTAAAGGAGCCAGTGAGTAAAGAAGCAAGGCCCACAATAAAGCCAAAGTAATCACTAAACCTGCTGAGCGAATACACATGTTCAAGTGAGATTACCTGGCTGGGCTTCTACCTCTAAAATTCTCCACCAGTCGGCTCATTAGTTGGCCCCAGAAATGCCTGGTGAGATTGACCAGGCTTTTATCCCTTCCCGGCTCATGTTTAACTGTTATTGTCATTCTAAAATCGCTGTCAGGATGAAATCAGTGACTTTATTCTCCTGCTTCGCAGCCAGATTAATCTTAAAATGGGTCCCTGGAGTCAAAGGATTCTGAAAAGAAGGAATGGGATGGTGCATTTCAACAGGCCAAGGAAGGAAGGAACACTATTTCCCAGTACTATAAATTCAAGTTGCAGGGATCAATCTCCAATCAGTATATTGTTACATTTTTAAAGTGAATCTGAAGTAGCAGAGCCACAAATGTTCAGAGGCACAATTGTCACTTTAAAAACACCTCAGACACAATGAAGCTTCATCAAACATTTTAAGGCCCACTGAGTCTTATCACCACAGCAGGAACTTTGCTGGAAAGTGTGACATATAACAGTAAATAATTGACAAGTGTCCCACTGGTCTCTGCACTGCACACAAAGACACAGTGTGTGTCTGTGTGTATGTGTGAGCAGCCATACGTGGCCTCACTACTCCGGAGTGAAACAGATGGCCCTCAATTATGAATGCCAGAATAGCCGAATAAATAGGAAGGTGGCATTTGGGGGAGGGGGAGGCAGACATGGGCACTGTTGCGTGTTGTCTGCATTGGGAGCCAGAAGGGAGAAGAAGAAATAAGATGGAGGTAAAGCTCTCCTTTCAGAGAAATATTGTCTTCCAAGTTGACCTTGGTGTAAATCCCATTGACCTCAGTGGTTCTTACCTCTGAATACATACGTATGCAATATGTATACAACTGCACTCTTAAAAGTTGAAATAACCATCTGAGGGCACGGCTAAACTGATGAACTGAATCCAGAGCTGGTTTGGAGTTTTATAAATTGAGTTGGTGTATGCATCCACATGATCACCCACATCAACGGCAGGCACCCTCATGGTGTCTCCACCCTCCACACTGCCAGGCACAGGTCTGCATTCATGCCTGGGCAGAAAAGGGGGTGGAGGTAAAGGAGGTAAAATAATGCATTTTCCCCCTCCATTGGACTTGGCAGTCATTTCCACAGACATTCAGGACAAAATTTACTCGGATGGAGGCATTCATATATTCCAAAAACAATTCAAATAAATCAGATTCACTATCAAGTTAAAATAAGCAACCTCCTCACAACTGTTTAAAAGCTTTCCAGCCAAAAAAAATATAGAGGTACATTTAGATTGTGGTCACACTGGCAATGTGAATTTATTTCTCTTCAGACTTTTAAACAATCAGGTTCAGGTGACGTGATATTTAAACCAGTGGTACTTTCACATGCATTGTATAGAGGTACATTTAGATTGTGGTCACACCGGCAATGTGAATTTGTTTCTCTTCAGACTTTTAAACAATCGGGTTCAGGTGACGTGATATTTAAAGTGGTACTTTCACATGCATTGATGGAAAACTATTTATTTCTGATGATTTAAACCGTTTTTTTGTTTCTACATCAAAATTGCTGAATTTGCTGAAATTGACTCCCTTCTGTTTTAGAAGCATGCCGTTCTTAAAGATTTTGATTTTCTTTCTCTTTTTTCTTTTTAAAAAAGGAAGTGATAGATGGATAAATTGAGTGTCTAAGAAGTGCCATCTGTTGTCATAACAGTCACTAGAAACCACAGGGGAAACACTGGTGAGGTGACCCCACCTGATTAATGATGAAAAAATGAGAATAGGAAGGGAGATTTCCAGCTGATTTGTGGGATGATGCTCCAGGCGTGTGGACTATCCTCTGTGTTCAGGCATACCTGCTCTACATTCGCTGGTCTTCTCCTGCTCTGCCAAGCACCTTCATTGGCCAAATGGAGCGAATGGGATAGGTGACTGTAATGCTGAATGTACTGATGAAGTGATGTAGTGATAAACATTTTTAAAAATAATGGTTTTTTTAAAATTTTAAAACAAAAATATATATATATGTTGCTCCTGCCACCCAAAGTCAACACAGGCACAAATTAAAAGGGCAGCAGCACTCACATCCACAAACCCCACACTGAATTGATTTTAGAAGCGAGGTGATTGAAAAAGCCCCTGATAGCCAGTTTAAAAAAAAACTTGCATTGCAGACCATATAAATCAGCTTCACCATTTGGACATGAGAACAATAAAATCTAAATCGATTTAAATGAGGCATAAATGTAGTTCTTATTGCCAGGGTGACCGCAGCTTCAGCTGTGCATCATGTAGGCAGAAATTTTAAATTTGATTTCAAATGTGCTAAACCTGATGAAAATATAGAATTTCTACTACACCATAAGGTAGGAAACCTTCTGTACATGTTCAGAGACAACTGGCTCTCCGATCCATTTCTGACAACAGAGTCCAGTTCTTATCTCAGGGGAAAAAAAGGAAAAGGAAGAGAAGATATATAGAATTTTGTCACTGCAATCAAGGTATAGTACCATCACTAATACAGTGGTGCCTCGCAAGACACGCTAGACAATGACCTTTTTTGAGCATTTTTGAGCAATGTTGTGCTTCCCAAAATGATCATTCCTAAGGGCAATTTTTGCTAGACAATGTTTTTCAAGCAAGACAGTTCCCCCCCCCCAATTGGAACACATTAATTACATAAGACCTACTTTTTTATCCCAAGAAAGTATATAAGGTAAAGGTAAAGGTTCCCCTTGACAATTTTTTTTGTCCAGTCATGTTGGAATATAGGGGGCGGTGGTGCTCATCCCAGTTTCCAAGCCACAAGCCATAGGGCCAGCGTTTTGTCCAAAGACAATCTTCCGTGGTCACATGGCCAGTGCCACTTAGACACAGAAGGCTTTTACCTTCCAACCCACCAAAGAAATGGTCCCTATTAATGTTCCGTGGTACATTTGCATGCTTTCAAACCGCTAGGTTGGCGGGAGCTGGGACAAGGGCTGGGACAAGGGCATTCACTCCATCACCTGGATTCAATCCTAGGACTGCTTGGTCTTCTGAGCCTTGAGCACATCACAGCACCACCATGTCCCTCTTTAAGAAAATATATATTGCTGGACAAAAGTGTATATTGCTAGTTTTTCAGGGTCTGCTTCCTGGGAAAACAGCAATATACATGTTCTCCCTGAATTTTTGGAATAAAAAGGTAGGTCTTTTTCAAAGCATTGCCAATGGGGCGATGGTTGCAAATTTAAATAATAAAGAGTAGTAAAAATAGCCAGAAACCAAAAAATAAAGAGATTAGGAAAAAAATGATAAATGTAATCCTTTCATTAACATGAGGTATGCAGTTGAGCTTCCCACATTTGGGGAAATCATAGGGATCAGCAGCACACCCAAAGTGCAATGGATGGACCTCCCTATGGGAAAACCATTTTTATGACATGGCATTTTCTCTATAAGATATGAGTTGCAATGGCCCTTGCACCGCCTAACCCCTTCTGTCCCCTGACCCTCCAAGTCATGGTGACCCCCTGGCTGCACTTCCCACTCAGTACAGGGCTGCACAGCTCCAGCTCTGCCAGAGGCCAAGAGAGCTCCTCAGTGTTTTGGGGTGCCCTGTGGGACCCCCATCAGGGGCTAAGTGATCCTCCCACAATCCTCTAGTACACCAGAATTAGCATAATGCTAATACCTTATGCTAATTGTGGGCAGAACACCTTCCTCCCACAATCCTCTAGTGCACAGATATTAGCATATGCTAATACCTGAGCACAAGAGCATTGTGGGAGGAACACTTAGCCCCTGATGAGGGTGCCATAGGGCACCCCAAAACACTGAGGAGCTCTCTTGGCCTCTGGCAGAGCTGGAGCTGTGCAGCCCTGTACTGAGTGGGAGGTGCAGCCAGGGGGTCACCATGCCTTGGGGGGTCAGGAGACAGAAGGGGGTTTGACTCCTTTTACCCTCTTTTTCTTTCTAGCAACAAAGAAAAAGTTTAGAGATAAAAGAGCTATCTGAGACCCATTGAATTTCCAAAAGCAATGCAGGTGAGAAGATTGCTTTTCCCCAAGATGGCTTGGGGAACTGTGTTTTGCAAGATGATCTCTTTCTTCTCTTCTATGGGTGACTTTTGTAAGACAGTCATTTTTTTCCTAATTGGAACTCATTAAATAGATTTCAGTGCATTCCAATGGGGAACTGGGTTTCACAAGAGGATGTTTTTGCAAGACAGATTTCCAAAAAATCGTTTTGTGGGGCACCACAATAATTAGCACTGAAAAATCTTTTTCTGCACAGCTGGAAACATTTTTTATTTTATAATACCCTGTTCCCCCCAAAATAAGACAGGGACTTATATTAATTTTTGCTCCAAAAACGCAATAGGGCTTATTTTCAGGGGGTGTTTTTTTCTTTTCATGTACAACTATCTACATTCAAATACAATCATGTCATCTTCTTCTGGTTGCTGCACAAGGGTGGACAGTGGGGCTTCACTTAACTGGGGCTTATTTGGGGGGCAGGGATTATATTATGAGCATCCTGAAAAATCATACTAGGGGTTATTTTCAGGTTAGGTCTTATTTTGGGGGAAACAGGGTAAGAGCATGCTGTCAGCAGGTTTCAAAGAGTTATCATCGAAAAAAGTAATTTTTAAAAAAGTTTTTTAAATTTAGAAAATAATTTCCTTGCATCAGTGCAGTAATTCTTGCAGCAATTCTACACCTAAAAGCAGGTGAGCACGATTTGTTTCACATTTTGCAGGTAGGCTGTGGGCAGGAGGCAATATCCAGTGGGTCAAATATTTGTAAAGATTCCTCGAGCATGTTCCCAAAGTTGGTGGAAGCCCCCTTGTTCAAAAAGGGGAAACTGATGAACTTTGGCATCTCCAGCACCTGTTAAAAACAAACAAACCAGCAGTTCTATGAAGGGGAAAGGTGGTCAAGAGAAGCTGATCATGCAGGTATCCCAAACACCTGAGGCTCCCTCCCTGTATTTCATGCAGAATCTAAGTAAACCCACCCTTCAGTCTCCCATCTATCAAACAACTGCAAAAGGAGTGCTTTTGATTGGGAAATTAGTAGAGGAGGCTGCAGACATGGTCAGCTCTTTTATGGCCCAAACCCTGAACTACACAATGAGAAAATATTTTGCATAATACTTAGAGATGGCTGCTCGGATTTGAGGAACTAATATATGATAACCCTGAAAGAGGGAAGCGCCTGGTACGTGGTAAGAGTGGAAGGGAGAATTAAGAACAGAAAGGTAGGGAAGGGAGAAGAGATAGCAGAAAATAAAATAAAAATATGTCAGGGACGAAACTTAATTTGGAGCCGGCACAGGCTGATTTAGTGTTAGAGACATTAGAGAGAGAAGACGAGAAACAGGGAAAACAGAAAAGCACTGGCAGGGTTTCTAACTGAGGTAAAGCTGAGTACATTTTGCTGGAGTTTTATTTACAACCTCACATGCTGTCTGGAGGTTGAGTGACAGGGAGGGATTTTTCTGGGGTGATTATCTGTCCAGCACTCACACTCTCTGTTGAATGTCATATCCTGTCCCCTCCCCCCTTCTCGGCTGGTGGCAGTTGTTTGTTGCTGTTGATCTGTTCAGTTGGTTGCTAGTATGAGTGCAGTAAAGAAAGCAGTATGTACAAGTCTGTAATTTCAAGCAACTGTAAGTAAAGACATGTTTTTGTTCTTTCTCCTACAAAAGTCTCAGTGTGAATTATTGAGACTTCACTGCCAGATCCATATACCTGTCTTCATTCATCTCAATGTCTCTCTTGCTTGTGATACCCATTGTTTCCATTTAAGATACTAAATCTGAAATCAGTATTCTATTATTCCTTTATCTTTTTTTAAAAAAAAATTGGAGTGCTAAATGATGTCACAGCTTTCTTACATTGCTCTTTGATCTTTTTTCAGACCTGTCAAATGGTTATTTGGGGACACTTAATGCACAATTGTGGAGGCAGCCTGTCTGCTGGCCAGGTGCAATTGCACAAGACTGGCAGCTTTTAATAGGAGCTACATATTTAATTAAAAGCTTCTTTCTCCTGGGTTTCACTACTAATTGCTTGCTATTCAGCATGACAGGGGGAATGACAAAGGGATCTCATAGTCAAAGAAAGTTACAACAATTATACCTTCAGTCTCCAGTGGAATTTGGCTATGGTGGCCATGTATCAATCACTTGAAAGAGGAAACAGGGAAAGGAAGATAGCCGTTTCCATGACATTTGCATGTCCTTGTTTATATGTGATTGATGGAAATGTGCATGGTTTTATATGATTGTAATTATAAACGTAGTGTTTTCAATTATAGCAGGAAAGACTGTGATCAAGCACCTTGCATGCCTTCCATTCAGTCTGCTATGCAGGTGCTACTAACTGTTCATGGGCAACGTCAAGCTTGACGCTGCTGTCTCATGGTTTGTGATCCTTAAAGCCAGAGTTGAACTGGCCAGCACTTACTTAAAAAAAAAAAAGCCTTGTGGTGCAGTGGTTAAACTGCTGTACTGCAGCCAAAACTGTGTTCACAACCTGGGGTTCAAATCCCAGGTAGCGGCTTAAAGTTGACTCAGCCTTCTATCCTTCCAAGGTCGGTAAAATGAGTACCCAGCTCGCTGGGGGGGGGGGCAATGTGTAGCCTGCATAACTAACTTGTAAACCGCCCAGAGAGGGCTTGAAGCGCTATGGGGTGGTATATAAGCAGCACGCTTTGCTTTTGCTTTGCTTTACTTCCTTCCTTACTTTATAATCCTAGAACTGCAGAGTGGGAAAGGACCCTATGGATCATCAAGTCCAATCCCTGTCAAAAAGGCACAGTGGGGAATCGAACTCCCAACCTGTGGCTTCTCAACCAGATACCGAAATCACTAATCCATTCATTAATTTATGGCACTTTTATGCCACTTCTCTCCCTGTGATGGGACACTTAAACTGGAAGATACAGTACTTTCAAATAGAGAACTGAAGGAAACATGGCCGCCCTAACTTTGTCAATAGTTTTTTTGGGGTGGGTGGGGGTGGGGGAGGGCTGCTTCATTTCTTCACAATGCTCATGTCCTCCAAACACTCATGTTCAACTAGGAAAAATAACAGTTGTCTTCATTTTGCCGGGTTTGTGACTCCTTGTGTTCATCTATTCTGGGACTAAAAAGTTGAAGAAAGTTTGCGAATGGTTGCAAACCATCAACACTGTCTACAAAGACTTTCTGTTGAGAACTTTTAATGAAAAAACAGAGGTGCACATGAACCCAATTCCCCCCCCCAACCTTTATTAATGTAGCATTTATCATTCTGAAATCCGTGGATTGTAAAAAAAAAACAAAAACTATTCACAGTCCTAGCAGAGGAGAGCATTTTCCCTTGTTAAGATACAATAAAATGTTGAGATTTTTTAATCGGGCATTTCAACTTGACAGGAAGTTCCTTTACTAAGTAGAACTGGATGCACACAGCCTGCATTCCAGTGGTGCCTCGACTTACTACTGTCCCTACTTACGGCCATTTTGAGTTACGATCAGCTCTGGCTGCAAAATTTTGCTTCGACTTGTGGCCAGAGCTTCCAGTTACAAACACAAAAAGGCAGGGGGGAAAGGCAGGAAATTCAAATTCCAAACCATTGGTGGCGAAGAGGCTCCTACTTTGTAGCTCTTTTGCCCCAGCAGTTAGAGAGTTTGTGATTGGACAAGGCTGCCTGGTAAAGTAAGGTGCTGTTTTCAGCTTTTTAAAAACTGTTCTGGGTGGGTTTTGCAGTGTGGTTTTGGGCTGGGGGGGAATGTTTCTGTGCTGTGTTGTTGTTTTGTTTTTTGGTGATGTTTTTTCAGCCCCAGCGCCTTTGGGGCTTGCTTTGCTGTTTATTTTTTATTTGGGTTTTTTTTAAGCCCCAGCAATGGAACTTGCCTTGCTGTTTATTTTTGGTATTTTGTTTTTTTTAAAAGCCCCAACAACAGAGCTCGCTTTACTGTTTATTTTTTGTTTTTTGTTTTTTTTAAAAAAGCTTCAGTGCCTTCCGACTGGGCTTGCTGTCTGCTTTATTTATTTATTTTAATTTTATTTATTTATTTTTGCCGGAACTGATTAATCGTGTTCCAATGCATTTCAGTGGGAAATTGTGCTTCGACTTATGACCATTTCGAGTTACGTCCATCTTCTGGAACGGATTATGGTCAGAGGTCGAGGCACCACTGTACTGTGAAATATGCTGACATGAATACTGTATTCTAAATGGTAATTTTGTAGTTTGTATCTCCTGAAAGTCATTTGTGATGAAACATACATCCTGCCTTGGAAATCTGCATGTTTGTCTGTGGTCCATTTGAGCTAGAATGCGCACAAAACTACATGGACATTGTGATCATGGACATAACTAGAAACAGTACACAGAAAACACAAATACAGAAACAAAATCAGCCAGTGGGTGAAACACATATTAGCTAAATGCACACAAAATATATATGTTCCAAAAAAAATGTTTATGTAATGTGCAGGTGAATTGACATGCAGGGTGGAAAAGTCTCATGACCTGGTAGGGGAAAGTTACAGATGAGATCCAGAGAAATGCAACAAAATTGAAGCTGAAGCGGTAACTGGGCATTATCTTTCTGTTTCAACTCGCCAATGATAGAGGAGGGCACTCTAGCCCCTCACCCTCTCTTTTTCATACCATCATTCTCCTATGTGTGGAGAATATTTTTTAAATAAACATTTTTACTAATTTT